GAGAATTTCTGCTATTGTGTTGAGAAACGCAGTGTCCCTGCTTTTTCCCATGTATACATGTTATTAAACTTGGTATTATTTTCTCCTGCTAACCTGTCTTGTTGATTATTTGGCCAACCGTAAGAACCTTAAGGGAAAGAGCAGAGGGAGATTCTCCCTCTTCCCCCGACACTGCAAACATACTGTACTTTGTGTGATAACTACTTCTGGTGGAGGTCTGGTTTAACTCACCAGGAGGGGAAGCCACTTTGTCAGTAACAGTGGGACCCCCAGATTTGAGAAAGATGTTTGATCATTTTGTACATGAGAAACAGGGCCTTAGTTTGGGCGCCCTAACCCAGAACCTCATACCGACCAGGAAGCCTGTGGCCTATTTTTCTAAGCAGTTGGATCAGAAGGTCAAAGGATGGTCACCTTGCCTCCGAGCCATTGCTGCCACCGGTGACATACTACAAGAAGTCAAAAAGTTCACGTTGGGGCAGCCCACCATGGCGCACGCTCTCGATTGTGTCTTTCCTTTGTTAGAACAGAAAGAAGGATATTAGCTAACCTCAGGATCAGGCTATTTTATGAGATAACCAAGAGAGGTAAAGTTAAAGGCTATTTCTACCTTAAACCCTGCAACCCTGCTACCTACCAATATCAGAGAGACCCCCTCTCATGATTGTCTTCAGATCATTGAACAGGTGTTCTCAAGCTGACCTGATTTGACTGACCAAGGGTTGGAGCAGCCAGGCTTGGAACTGTTCACTGATGGAAGCAGTTTCATTTATCAGGGGCAACATCAAGCAGGGTATGCAGTTGTCACCCTACAGGACGCCATGGAAGCAAAGGCTCTACCTCCAGGTACTTCAGCTCAAAAGGCTGAGCTTATAGCCCTCACTAGAGTTCTTCAAACCGGTAAAGACAAAAGAGTACAGACTCAAAATATGCCTTTTTGGTGTTCTATGCCCATGGGGCCATATGGAAAGAGAGGGGACTCTTGACTGCTGGAAAGAGGGACATAAAATATTCCCAGAACATATTGACATTATTAGAGGCCATTAATGACCCCATGTGAGTAGCCATCATGCACTGCCCTGGACAACAGAATGGGGACAACCTGGAAGCCAGAGGCAATCAATTGGCCAATCAGGCAGCGAAGACTGCTGCTAGAACTATGAGTTTCGAGGCACTCCTGTCTCCCTGAGTTCCCCAAATTGATTTTGCTAAATTGCAGCCTAGCTACACCCAGAAAGATTTAGAGAGAGCCAGAGAATGGAGATTTGACTCCTTCTCTCTGGAGCATCCTGGTTGGAAATGTAAATTGGAAGGACTCATCCTGGTACCTGAAGCCCTTCTGGGAGAAATTGTCAATGAAATCCACCAGAGCACTCACTATGGAAGTGTCAGGGGAAGAGGGAGAATCCCCCTCTGCCCTTTTCTTTAAGGTTCTTATGGCTGGCCAAATAATTAATAAGACAGGTTAGCAGGAGAAAATAATACCAAGTTTAATAACATGTATACATGGGAGAAACTCAGAAATGAGCAACTCGTCCCTCTGTCTAAGCTGCTTGCTTAAGTATTGTCGCTAAAGGCGAGGAAGGTGTTGGGGGTGGGTAGTGGTCTGGGACTTCAGAGGCCAGGAAGACAATTCTTTTTAGGGTCATCTATAGATAATGTGATCAGGGAGAGACAGAGTTTTTGATAAAAGTGGCTTGGTGCCTTTCCTATTGTAACCTCTATCCTACATTATCTTTACAGTCATCATGATAATAACTCTTTCTTGAAACAGATCTTTTGTTGTAAATTCTTTAGGCAGTTTGGGAGGGGAAACTCAAATATTCTTCCTGAGTTCTCTGAGTCCTTATTGTCTTCAGCTCGAAATAATCCGCATACCAGAGTGGTGCTTCCTGGGGTAGCTTGCCCTGAGCACCATCAACCATTTTCCCCTCTCTAATTCGGTACCCTGTACTTTTTCACTACTTGCCCATCCCCCCTAAGCCTCTCCTAGACCCCAGGTTCCATAAAAAACCTGAGGCCTTTGTTTGGGGTCTCTGAACAGTGAGAGGACCCCACATCTGTGCTGATCCACATGACCCTCAACCAGTGAGCCATTCCATGGGGGAAAATGAAGTAGGAGGAGTTGATATTTTCTCCAGTTTTAGTCTCTTGCTTGTACTATTACAGTAAGTGATAAAAGGATTAACTCTTTCATTTTTGGCTGCTTGTTTTAATTGGCTACTCTGACACCTGGCAGTGCAACGCTCCCTAGACCAGCCCAGTAGGTCTCCTAACACTAGCTTTATATAATTATACTCACTAGATACAGGGAGACAAAAGACAAGTTTAAATATTCTGGCAGAGAAGTGGGACATATCTTTAAAAAAGACAAAGTAATTTTGGAAAAGATCAAAATAAAAATTCTAAAACTGAAAAGTAAATAATATTAAGAACTCAATGGATGTGTTTGAAAGTATATGTCTTAGAAACAGCTAAAGAAAAATTAGTAAGCAGGATAAATACTAGGAAAGAAACTCAGAATAAAGCCCAAAGAGGCAAAATTTTGAAGAAAAGAGAGAAAGAGATCATGAGAATACAATATAAATGATTCTAAAACGCATTTAGCTAGAATCACAAGTTAAAGAGAGCAATAAACAGCAGGGATTTTTTTTTATTGATGTTTTAATGGTTTTTAACATTGTGAAATTTTGGGTTGTGCATTTTTGTTTGTC